CAAAACGGGCTGAAATGGTAAATATCCTATGCCAAAGGCGCGTTTATTATGTTAGCTGAATTAAAGAGAAAAACTGGTCAAATTAAAATACTATGTTAGCTATAAGATTTTATTAATTTGATCCTCTCTGCTCCGCTACGTCCAATCCCAGATTCCGTCCCGTCATTTCTCCGGAAAAAAGAGAGTGCGGACAAAATACTTGGAACAGCTTAAAAAAACCCATCGAATTCGCATCTTACCTCAATCGGACTGATCGGGGTGGATGGCAATGGCTGAAGATATTCAGGGTGTAAAATGTGTCCTGTGCGTGCAGTAAGCATTTTCAAAATCTTTATGGGAAGTCGGTTAGCTTGCCGTAAAGGGTCCGAAGGAGGGACGTAACGGAGAAAAGGCTTGCTGACGACCGCGGAGTTATTCCGAGAGCTGCTGCTGCTTTCCCAGACTAGATCAGTATCACTATTTCTTGAAGCAGAAGCAGAGGGCGATGTGATCATGACCCAATTCTCATGTATTTTGTTGGTATTTCATCTATCAGATTCATAAATAAAAAACTACGCTGTAATCTTCTTTCAAATAGCAGAAATAAAGATAAATAGTATAATCCGTCTGGAGCAAAGCGTGAGGCTATCGCAGATCCGGAGCCGCATGTGACACCACAGGCATAGCGCGCGCTCTGTCTCTTCCCGTAGGTCCGCGCGCTTGTCTTCCCAAACCAAGAACTAGTAGAAATTTTCACTTCAAAAGCAGCTGAATTAGTCCGAGATTAAAGCCCTTGCCGCCTTCCAATCAAATGGGACCCCGAGGTGATTGGAGGGTCAAGGGGATGTGACGTTCCTCCTTCTGTAAGCGCCTCTATTTTGACAACTTGGGGGAGGAGATTTTGCTCAATATGTAGGTTGTCGTACACGCCGCTGCCTGTGTCAAATTTTTTTATTTAAAATGCTCGTTATTCATTTTCACGAGCAGATTGCCTTGGAGTTGCCATCTTTTTAAAATATAAACTAAGTGTGAAAAAAATAATTCCCTCTCATAGCTTTATTCTTCGACTGATTTGTAGTTTTATAAGAGTAAGCCTCGCTTTTTATTGATAATAATTAACACCACCAACAAAAACAGAAATAAAACATTAAAGTTTTTGGGATTCTATTTTTTTTATTATACACCCCTTTGTATGAGGGACTACATTTTATTAACCATCTAGCCTTTTGATTTAATACTTTTTTCTTTTTTGTATAAAATGAAATTTAGTCTTCTTCCAAGATGCTGTGTGCGTTTAGTCTTTTTTTTTTACTGTAATGCAAGTGGGCTGAAAACATCAAACCAGAAACATAAGATTAACTTGTAGTGTTTGAATTCCCCAATCAGACAAGCGTTGACAAGAGCAGACCAATGCAGTGATAGAGGGATGTGAATGTCACATGTTTTCAATATAATATACACCGCCCTTCTATTTCTATCCCACCCCTCCGTCAACTGTCAATTCTACTCGACCGCAATCAATCAGTTATTTGTCAGTTGCCGTCAATCCTTTTCTTACTTCATGTCAGCTTTTGAAGCTGATTATTTGCCGCGAGTGACGGAGAAAAGGGCAAAAGAAGCATCCTGGAGAAGAGTCACTTAATTTGAGGGGCATGTTCCTCTGCTTTATTCAGTTTGGAAAGGTTTTTCTTTAAAACCTGCGGTAAGACAAGAACCTATTCCCCGTGTTTAGCCTATTTTCAATCGAGGCAGAAACAGAAAATCAACCACTGGTCATTTATCCTATAGAATACAGCTGCTAAGTAAAACAACCCAGTTTTTTAAACTTCTAAAGTACTTTTGACGACGTTTTTGGCCGAATTAAATATAAAAAAATTAATATGACATAGAATTATTTTACTTCTAAAAAGTTCTAAAATAACACGGGGCAAGTAATGTTTTATTTATGTATTTATTATTATTTTTTGCTTACTGTATCGGCTATAAAACTTGTAAGCTTTCCCCCCCCAAAAAATTAACCAAGCAATTGCATGCTGTAACTACCTGTTGTCATATTTTACGTTCATTATTATTTGTTTAATTCGTTTTTAATTTTGTTTTAACTTATTTTCTTCTGCGAGTGCATACTGAATGAAAAAGAAACAGATTTTCTGACTGCACGAGCAGTAAGACCTGTTTTAAACATGCTGAGACTAAGTTTCAGACAGGTGTAGGCTACATGATAGCTACTTCAAATGATATTATCCTTGTCTCACATGCAGTTTCAGGTTTTTCCGGATACATGTTTTGCACAAATGTGAACTGGTATCAGATTGCCTCAGGCAAAAACCAACAAAACTTGAACTTACTTGGAATGTTAAAAGAAACGAGAATATAATAGGCCTAATAATAATTATAATAATAATAAAAGTCCAGACAGTTTTTTTTCATTCATGTCAACTAAATTTTATTGTGTAAATAAAATTATTAATTTTATTTGACAATACCAAAAGACATAAAAGAAAGAGAAATGGACTGTCAGACCTTTGAGAAAGGAAGTTTAAAATGCCTTGAACTATTCACCGCTGAGACGGCTAATCAGTATTGAGGCTCCGGGGCAATCGGGCAGCTTTTCAATGCGCTTTGCCTTTCATCTCTCACTGGATGGAGGCGCTCAATTAAAAGCCTATCAGTTTGTAAGTAAATCAACGCCTATCAAAGTTGTCACATCAAACAAAACGATTATTATTGCAACCCGCCTCCACCATTAATCTCTTTCTGCGGTAATCCGCTTGACAGGTCATCTAGGAGAGCAAGAAAACCTGGAGTGGACAGTCATCAGCGTGAAAGAAATAAATGTACATTTTGTTGGAGTATGTCAGACACATTGAAACAGATAACGCTGATCTATGACAAACAATAAACTTTGCTGGTTTACCCTAATCCTAAAACGCGGTTTTAATCTCTATACAAACATCTCACCCCTCTTCCTCATAAAAATAACATTGCTCAAATTTTCTAAGTGCATCTAACTTTTAAAATTATACATAAATAATTTTGTTGTAAAAGCCTATAAACGTATAAACGTGTGAGCTAATTATTAATCCTATCTCACTCTCTCACACACACGCTCTCTCTCTCTCTCTCCAGAAATCAGTATTTACTGATTGCATTTCAGCATTTGGCTTTTTTATCGTAGTTTACGTGTTCTAATATTTAGAAAGTTAGAATTATTTAGCCATATAACACACAGGCCTTGTTAGAAGACATGCACATAGTTTGGTTACAGTTTTGAAAACCCTTGAATGTCGAGTCGAAACAAATAGAAAAAAGATATATATATAATTGAGCAGCCTTTTTCAGTCTTGATTTGTACATTAACATTACATATTTGTATACGTTTTTGAAAGTGCAAATACTGGGAAGACTGCTGTACACAGATTCAAACAGACACTAGTGTTGATATCGGCCATTTTAAACAAGCTTAACACAGAGTCTTTCTTCAGTATGTAAAGATGTGTGACTGTTTTCTGCACAAGCTGTCAGCGCGTGACACTGCGTGAGTTATTAGGGCAGAGAAGGGTAACCATAAATTTCCAGCATCGGGCAACAATTTTCTCTTTATTGTCTGCATGACGAATGAGTTTCTGAACCAGATACCAAGCACTCGGTATTACCCTTAAATGGGAACATATTTTGGGGGGGAGGGAATAATTCATATTATTTAAATGCAAATGTATTTTCATGCATTTCATATCGTCATGTTTATGCATGACTAAATATCGTCATTTACAGAGCTGCCTAAAGCAGCCGAAAACACTTGTGCAAAACATTTTCTGTAGTCAAAGTTGAGGACATTATGATTTATCAAAATAAACCATAACACCTTTCACATTGATTTCCCCCCCAAGTTACAAATAAATCTGAAAGGGTTGTAGACATTAAGTGATAGGCTAGGTAAAGCAGCTTAGTAACACAAAATCAGTTCCAATAAAAAAAAAAAAAACACAGTATTTATTATATTTTTAGTGTTTAGAAAAACTCTCACATAAGTAGGCTACAATGCTGAAATTCAACCAACTCAAATTCTTTAAAAATGAAAACGGCTTATTTTGCGTAACGTTAGGCTATACAGCGTCTTAGTCCGCTTCCTTTCTTTCGAAACATCTATAAAAATAATCATAATCAAGAAAAAAGGGTTCTTCCTTCACAAGCATTACAAAGCATTTCCTATCATTAAGTTTGGTAAAAAGAGAACACAATGAACCACTTTACCTGAAATTACACACACGCGCTCCGATGTGTTACGACAGGTATGAACATTTACAGGCACAATCCTTTCATTTCCTATAAAGATGATCATTTAAACAGATTTCCAATGATGTCCTATGAAGCACATTTTAGCAGCCTAACTAAGTAAATGCATTATTCTAGTGTCCGTGCGCTGCCGCCATCATAAGATCCTGCTCGTCTCCAAAAGACTGCGCGCGCGATCCAAAACTTCCGCCTGTGGGAGGATCCGATGTGACGTCATGGCGCTCCCAACCAAAGCTTTTGTGCTTCTCTCTTTCTGCGTGTCCTGTCATATAAGGACAACAATAAAGCTTTAATGTGTTATTTTAACTTAAGCGATTATATGAACACACGAATAGGACAGTTAAATATGATTAGCGAAATTATAATACAGTGAAATATGACTTCTGAGTTATTATACGTTGTGTAACACTTTTAACACATACTTTGCAAACTTACCCCGACATCCAGTGACTAAAACTGTTACTTTTTCAAACGAAAGCTGTCTGGATTGCTAGCAGGAATACTACTCACTCACCATTATTTTTATGGCAACATAAGCAGCTGAAACAGATTTGAGCAATTGAACGCTGGCGCGTGCTTCCGTCCTAGATCAGCTGACACAAGCACGCGGAAGAAGTAAAGCTTCATTCGGAGCGTAATTTAAAAGTTTATTTTGAAAACATAAAGAACACGTTTCAGTCGTATGAGCAGAAAAAACAACTGTGGTGGTCTTCGTTTGATGCTTTTTTCCTTCTGAACTGTCATTTGACTGCAATGGCATACAACGAGTCAATGGTTGTAGTGAATGGAAGTCAGGTAAGTGAAATACTGCAAACACGTTGTCCTGTGACCTGTATACTATTCAACCAGTAGACACCAAATGCCCCAAAGTGTGCGTTTGTTTTGTTTGTCATGCTGTGTCATGTAGATAAAAACGGAGGATATATTTATATAAATATATTTTCTGTGTCGCGAGACAACTCTAGTCAAAAATATTATGACAAATATTTATTTTAAACAGCTTAAATAGTTGTTGACTAACATAATAACAGTGGTTTCATTCACACAATAGTTGTATTTGAATTATTAGCCGTCACATGTTTATGGACAGCTGAACAGCTTCAAACATATCTTTAATCTCCATCAGTTCAGTGTAATGGTTAAGAAGTTCTATTTCTTGAAAGAAAAATACTTCAAAGTTCCAGCTATGTAATAAAACTGATATAGCTCCCTCTCTCTGTTGCGTTTATGCAGGTGTCCTGCATTGGGCATGATTGGGAAGACATTCCAGATTTTCTTGGGGCAAAATATGGAGAAGTGGCAAGAAGATTAGATCTCAGCTTCAACCAACTGAGGTAAGTTATTGTTTGTCTCAGTGTAACTCTTAACAGACAGTGATAATAGGAGGTCTGTGATGATGGGAGACAGTGATGACAAGCATGGCACCTATTTTGCACATACTGGATTCCTGTATGGACCTGAGGAGGGAGAGACATAAGTTTTCCCAATAGGTTTTGCAACAGGATTATGTCCCACATTATCCTGTCTGGGGGTATTCCAGAAAGCAGGTTATGTGACATAACCGGGTATGTTTAAGGGTAAGTAGGTGGATAAACTCAGCTTTTGGTTTCAAAAACGGAGGTAACTTTCAGGTTATGCAAGTAGCCATAGCAACTTATTTTCTGAACATAACCTGCTCCGGAGCAGGGTCTATTTCAGGGTTAGTTTACTTAAGAGTTATCAGTGCATGCTCGACCTATTGACAAGACTCCAGTGGGCATGGCAGATTGTGCACAATAATGTATATTATTACAATATAGTTTACATATATACACTTTTTACTGTTTACAATATAGTACACTACTGCTCAAAAGTTTGGGATCAGTAAGACTTGTAATGTTTTTTAAAGAAGTCTCTTATGCTCATCAAGGCTGCATTTATTTGATCAAATGTGCTGCTTAATATTTTTTTGGAACCTTTGATACTTTTTTTCAGGATTCTTTGATGAATAAAAAGTTAAAAAGAACAGCATTTATTCAAAATATATATATTTTCTAACAATATAAATCTTTACTATCACTTCTTATCAATTTAACACATCCTTGCTGAATAAAAGTTTTAATTTCTTTCAAAAAAAGAAAGAATAAAAATGTACTGACCCTAAACTTTTGAACTGTATAGAAACCATTATTTTATATTGTAATAACATTTTGCAAGATTACTGTTTTTTTCTGTATTTTTGATCAAATAAATGCAGCCTTGATGAGCATAATAGACTTCTTTAAAAAACATTACAAGCATTGCAAAAAAAACATTACAATGTTATATATATATATATATATATATTTATTTGAATATGTTAATTATAAAGCACTAATATAAGTGATATATTAGGTAATATTATGTTATTTTATTATGGTATTTATTTTAATGTCATATATAATAGTTATTGATATAAATTAATTATAAAACTATTATAACAAGGTAATGTTTATTTTATCATCTCACATCATGGATCTGCATTTTCTATAATGTATTTCTATAATAAAAATAAACATGTGATATGGCTTTTTATATAATTAGCATAAAAAAATGAAAGAGAAAATTTAAGAAAAATTATAGCACAACCACCAATTAGGTGGTGATATGCACTAAGTATGCAAATGGACATTGAACAAAAGAAGAACAAAAGAAGCAGTATGGCGTGCATTTTCTTAGCGTCCGTTTCCATGGTGACTTGTTGATTCGTCGCTCTGTTTAGTATGTCTTGTGTGTTAACCGTGAACGTACTCTGTTCAGTCAATAGTCGACTGAACTTACTCCCAGACACGTTTTTGGAACCAGCATACCTCGAGTAAGCAAGGTTTGGGTTAATCAACCGAGAGTTCAGGCTATATGTCATGGCAAGTTAATCTTGCCTTCTGGAATAGCACCTGGAAAGATGGAAAATTGCCAATATAGGTAGTTTTAGTGCACTTCTGTTAGACCCTTTAAAATGTTGCTTGACCGCAGATGTTGGCAATGGACATTAATGAATTCATATCATATTTGTCTATTAAATATGTAATATTAGGCCCGAATTGGTTGAGGAAGTCCTTGCAGGATGTTTCTATCATGTGAAACATTCTAGAACACTGTCATAAATGACAGGATCCCAACCGCATACAACATCTCTGATTCAATCTACCTGTCATGCTTACAGTCACACCTCTGCATTAAGTGCAATTCAATACATGCATTATGTGCATTACTTCATCAGCCATGTCATTGAGACCTCAGAGAACAGCGGGTACAGTAGCGGCGTGCCATGCTGTGGCCAGATAAAAAGCCTGATCAATAAATGTGACATGTTAATGCTGAGCAAATAGAATAAAAGATTCCTTTGACAGGACATGAAGAAGCACCTTGTGGCAGCTGGGGAGGGGATGCCATTTCACTAGCAGGACTAGCAAAGCTGATCTGACAACTAAAAGAGAGGAGATGATGGTTATAAGGTGCCTTTGTTTCAGACTTCTTTTCTTGACCTGTCAGGCCTTGAAGGACTCTGAATGGGCCTCTTTTTGTCATGTGAAAATTGTCGTCTTGAGGCAGTTATCTGTGCTGAAAATGTGGAATCTTCCATTTAATTGATTCGCTTTGCACTGGAGTCTGTCACATTAATAATTGCCAAATCCTGTGCTGCTTCCATGTGTCACACATAAATGTACGCTTATCGGTGCATTGATATTCCTAATGAGCATTTGTGACTGGTGACCCGGCATTTGGTGAAGACTGTAGAACCCAGAATTATCAATATTCAGGCATAAAATGTTGTCTTTTTTTTTTTTTTTGGGTCACATACATAATTTGGTCAGCTGTCATGTGCATGAATTATACAGAGTCCATATACGATCATGACTGAAGAAATCAGTATCTACACCATGTATTCACGAAGTTAGTGGTTTGGAGTGATGCTTGTTCTTTTATGAAATGCTCTTTATTGCATCAGTTTCGGCTGTAATGTTTCCTAATAGTTTCACCATACACATAGTAGTAAAATACGCAGCATTGCTACACATAGAAACGCTTACACTGTGGTTTATTGCCTTTGCTGAGACATTATGCTATCATCATATCATTTATAGCTTTTTATGTGTAAGATAATTACCAGAATAGTTGGGCACATCGATAGGCAATTAATGGGAATGCTTCTAGAACAATGTCATGTTCATTGTCTTTCCATTAAAACACTGCAAGATTTACATTACCGATGTAGTGACGTACACGCAGAAGAGTGAGGTTTCACCATTTATGTTTTAGAATAACTCGTCTTGCTCACTTAGAATCACACTGCCAATAAAGATGATTTTTGGCAACAGGGCTTGTCAGTAGAAAGCCTCCCTTGCAAGAATGCCAAAGCTGGCTCTGAAATAATTGTCTTTTTTACCACTTCACAGAGCCTTTGAGCAGAACAGAAGGTTCTGTTACTGAAGCTGTTTAGGTCATGTGCTTTGTTGGGGCTAGGGTTACATTCAGTGTGAAATTTAATTTATAAAGAGGCATGTGATCAGAATAAAGTGAGGATGTGGGCTACAGTCAGGATTTCACTACTTCTTCTGCCATGTTCACACAAAGACCTCACAGTAAGAAGTTAATAGACAGACATCCTGCCCTCTAGCATGAGGACTTAAATATGTGAACATGACAAAGTGATAGAAAGGTTCTTTTGTTGTCCTCAGGGCTGCCACAAGACAGTTTGAGTCATCCAGAAATGAGCATTTATGCGGGATGTGTCACGGTAGTTGTCTAGTCATCTACATTGACTAGTTTTAGATTCTTAGATTTTATTTCATTAGCTTTTTAATCAACAGTTTGCAACGTAAATCCCTCTCTGCTTGCATCTTTTTAAAATCTTTTAAAGACTTCACTCAAAAATGAAAGTTAGGCCTATGTCATCATTTGCTCATCATTTATTTCTTTTTTTCTGCAGAATTAAAAGAATGTATTTTTTCAGAAATGTCTCTTTTTTTTTTTTTTCATACAATAGTAATCAATGGTCTCCAGTGTTGGTTTCCAGCGTTCTTCAAAATATCATCTATTATGTTCCACAGAAGAAAGTCTTGCATTTTAAGATCCACATGAACATAAATGACAATTTTCCTTTTTGAATGTTGTATCCCTTTAATTCATCCCCTTTAAAACATTGTTGCTACAGACATGCATGTTTAGACTGAAATCTTTGGCCATTGTGTTGTTAAAAACTTTCAAAAGTGCGTGTTGAGACATCTGCATCCTGTTCCTTTCTGTTTAGTTTTTTTTTATGAACAGGGTGGCCTTAAAAGTCTTAATGTCTTAAATTCAGATTCAGTGGGTCTTAAATAATTTTGGTCACATTACTGCAAAAATGTATCCAGTCTGAAGGACTCCATGACTGTTTACAATCATTGGACATACTGAAGTTTTTTCCCCCACTGTAGTCACTGCGTCATCAGGAAGAATTGCGGTAGCAAAATACAGACTGAACTAGCTAGCTGAGCAGCCTCGAGAATGTCTCGAGAATTTTACTTGCCTGATGGGGGAAATAGCCTGATTAAAACTTAAGTGATCAAAAAATAACTAGTTACATATCAAAATGCGAAAATGATTCTTCTGATCTTATTACATTCAGCTTAAACAGCGATTGATAATGCATAGTGTATTTCTGGTATCAATGTCGCGCTGTTGAGGCTTGTGCTGTGTCTGTAAAAGACTTTCATGGAGGAATCAAATCAAATGAGCATAACGGCACACATAAAGAAACTCACAGAACAAACATATTGGGGTAAAAATGAACATGATGTAGTTATGTAACATACCATGACAAGGGAGCTATTTAGACGAATATTTTCACGATTGCAAATGTTACATGGATTTTAGTTCAACAAACAAGTAGTATATTAAGTTTAGACACAAAACATTTTTATACACAATATTGACTGACGAAAATATTTCCAAACAAAGATCTGAACAGAAGTATTGCACATTCTCCAAGCAATACTCGGCGTGCTTGTTACTCAATGATTATGAAGGAATGAATGATGAGTTATAAAGGAAACGGTTGAATACTGGCGGATTAGTCTCATGTTTAAAAGTATGCATTTTCCCCAAACATTTCTTATTTATATATTAAAAATTTTATTTAAAACATTAATCTCATAACATTATTTACTGCAGTTGTAATTTTGCAGTGTAAATAGTTTAATTTGATTTGGTAAGGTTAAAAAAAATTGGCTTGCTCCAGGGTCTCACCTCAGTCGTGGTATTGAGGGTGGAAGAGGTCATTCACTCCCCTCACCTACAATCCCTGCCGGTACCAACGGGTTACAAGTCCGACTCT